TGGTACCAGAAAAAAAACAAAAAATAAAAATTAAAAAAAAAGAAGATATAAAAATTCTAAATAACCTAATATCAGCCAATGAAATTGAAAATGTAATTAAAACTTTACCAACAAAGAAAATCCCAGATCCTGATGGATTCCCAGTTGAATTCTACAAGAAATTTAGAGAAGAACTAATGCTACTAATGCTGAAACTATTTAAGGAAATTGAAAGGGAAGCAATTCTCCCTAACTCATTCCTGAAGACAAGTATCACCCTGATTCCAAAACCAGAGAAGAATACAACCAAAAAAGAAAACTACAAGTCAATCTCCCTAAAGAATATAGATGCAAAAATGCTCAATAAAATACTGGAAAACAGAATGCAGCAAATCAAGAAGATTATACACCATGATCAAGTTGGATTGACACCAGGGATGCCAAAATGGCTCAATATATGCAAAACAATAAATGTAACACACCATATTAACAGAACCAAAGATAAAAATCACATGATCATCTCAACAGATGCAGAGAAAACATTGGACAAAGTCTAACATCCATTCATGATAAAAACCCTACAGAAAATTGGAACAGATGGTCTTTACCTCAATCTGATAAAAGCCATCTATGACAAACCAACAGGTAACATCATACTAAATAGTCAAAAACTGAAAGCTTTCATTCTAAAATCAGGAACAAGACAGGGATGTCCACTATCACCTCTCCTTTTCAAAATAGTTCTGGAAACATTAGAGCAATTAGACAAGAGAAAGAAATAAAAGAAATAAGGATAGGAAAGGAAGAAGTTAAATTATTCTTCATAGATGACATGATACTACGTAGGAAACCCCCAAATCTCTACCAAAAGACTTATAGATTTAATAACCAAATTCAGTAGCATAGCTGGATACAAAGTCAACACTCAAAAATCAATAGCATTCCTATACACAAATAACAAACTCACAGAGAAATTAAGGAAAGCAAACTCTTCACAATAGCATGTAAAAAAAATGAAATACTTTGGAATCAATCTAACAAAGGATGTAAAAGATCTGTACAGTGAAAATTACAGTACCCTAAAAAAGGACATTGAAAAGGATATCAGAAAATGGAAAGATATCCCTTGCTCATGGATAAGAACCAACTAAGTGAAAATGGTCCTACTCCAAAAACTGTTATACATATTTAATGCAATCCCAATCAAAATATCACTAACATACCCCACAGAACTAGAGAAAACAATCCTAAAATTCATTTGGAACCAGAAGAGACCTAGAATAGCAAAAGCAATTCTGGGCAACAAAGGCAAGTCAAGGGGCATCACAATCTCTGACCTGAAATTATACTACAAGACCACTGTGATAAAAAAAATTAGCATGGTATTAGCAAAAAAAAAAAAAAAAAAAACACACCAGAGGATCAGTGGAACAGAATAGAAGATGCAGATGCAACTACAAACACATTAAACCACCTTTTCTTCAGCAAAGAAGCCAAACATGTTCACTGGGAGAAAGATAGTCTCTTTAATAAATGGTGCTGGAAAAACTGGCTTTGCACATGCCGAAGACTAAAACTAGACCCATGATCATCACCATGTACTAAACTAAAGTCAAAATAGAACAAAGATCTAAATATTAAAACAGAAACACTAAATATACTGGAAGAGAAAATAGGTGTAGACAGAGAATTCATGAACAAAACCCAGAATGCATGGGAAATACAACAAATCACCAACAAAGTGAAAAGACAACCTACAGAGTGGAAAAAAATTATAGCCAGTTGTCCCTCAGACAAAGGATTTAGATCTAGAACATGTAAAGAATTGAAAAAATCAGGCTCCCCAAATTCAAAGACCCAGTCAGAAAATAGGCATCTGAAATGAATACACACTTCTCAAATGAAGAAATTCAAACAGCAAATATTTGAAAAAATGTTCGACGTCTTTAGCATCACTCGAGAGATGCAAATTAAAACAACACAGATTTCTTCTCACCCTGAAAAGAATGTCTTACATCAAGAAATCAACCAGTAACAAATGCTGGCAGGGCAGTGGGGAAAAAGGAACCTTTCTCCACTGTTGGTGGGAGTGTAGACTGGTGCAGCCACTGTGGAAATCAGTGTGGAGATTCCTCAGAAAACTAGACGCAGCTATTTCCCTTCTGGGTATCTTGCCAGAAGACTTAAAAACATTGTAGTACAGCATTGTACCACAGAAATATATACCACAGCCTTATAGCAGCACAATTTGTAATCTTGGAAACAACCCAAATGCCTATCAACTGAGGCATGGGTAAAAAAGATGACATTTAAAAATATATATAATAGAATACTACTCAGCCATAAAGAAAGATAAACTTGAGACTTTTATAGGTAAATGGATGCAACTCGAGACCATACTAAGTGAAATAAACCAGACCCACATGTAAACATCGTATTGTCTCCCTAGTGTGAGAACCTGAAAGAGTAAACAAGATCCAAAAGGTATAATAGATATTTTGAGTAGGGAAGAACTGATTAAAAGAAAAGAAAAACTGTGATGGGAGAGAAGGGAAAGGAAGGAAGGGTAAAGGAAAAATATGTACATACACAAGACAGTTAAGATAGTCATATACCTGGTTTCTCTTGGTTCATTGAGGGGAAAGTTTTGTGCTAGTAATTTTCTGGGCAATGTTTCATGCTTATATCTTGTATTCTGAATAACTACTGTGATTATAAAAATATGCAATGTTGTTGTTATTCTCCTACTAGCCTGTTTTGAAACTGTTTTATTGTTATTTCTTGCTTTATTCTGTTCAAAATAGACAAAATTCTGAGGTTTGGGTGATAATGTGTCAACGCAGGTTCATCAGTTGTACTGTTCTGGTGGGAATATTGATAACAGGGGTCTATGCATGTTGGCAGGCAGCACGTAGGTCTGTGCAGGAAATCTCTGTACCCTGTATCCAATTTTGCTCTGAGCTTCAGACTTCTCTAAAAAATGAAGTCTGTTTCAAAAATCTCTTTGGAGTGTGCTATTGTCTTTGAAAACATTGTTAAGATTGCTTGATATATTTTAGTTTATTTAGATGCCTAGTGGGAATCCAAGTGAAAATAAAGAATTTTTGTTGGTGTTTGATTTTATCATTTGGGATGAGAAAGTAATTGAAATTGTATTACAACTCTAACATTCTTTATTAAGAAATTAGTGTTAATACATATTAACTGTACAAATTAATGGGATTCACTGTACTATTTCCATGCATGCCTGTGGCATGCCTCAATCATATCTACTCAACCTGTTTCCACCCCCACACACACACCCTGCTGGCCCCTTTTACAGTCCCTAATAATCTTTTTTTATTTAACTTGTGGAGTGACTTTTTACAAGTTTCTACTTGCCTTTCTGTGTCTGGCTTATTCTGCTTAACATGGTATCCTCCAATTCCATCCATTTTTCTGTAAAACACAAAGCTTCCTTCTTTAGAACTGAATTATACTCTATCATGTGTGTACATTTAATACATATATATCATATTTTCTTTGTCCATTGATGTGTTCACGTGCATCTGGGCTGTCTTAGCTATTGTGCATAGTGTCACACTCTGCGTGGATATGCAAGAATCACTTTTGTATGCTGACTTCATTTTTTTTGGAGATCTATTTACCTAACTATCTATTTATCTATCCTGGGTCATAGGGCATTGTCTTCTTAAGTTCAGTGTTCTTCCTTAGAACAGAAGCAGTGTCTTCGTTAGAAGATTAATACAGAAGTTCAAAATTCTACCCTCAATCCAACAAACTCTGAGAAGAAGTATAGTAACTTTTTAGAAATTTAAAGAAAGGTCCTTAAACTTGGTGCAAGGTTAGCCTTGGTTTTAATTTCATATAGTTTGTAACCTAAATTGATATAGTTTTGTAATTTATACTGTAAGCTTTAGGGGAAGGACTAGGCTTTAACATGTACTTAGCAGCTTATACTGTATTTTCAATACTTGGAAAATGATAATTAATGGCTAGGCATTGGGTGTTTGGCACAAAACCTTGAATCTAAGTATAATTAACTTTAAGAGCTATTTTGAAGTCCAATGAAAGTAAGAGGTGTAAGCTTTTCATAGCTTCACAGAAGGAATCAGGAATGACTTACAGGACTGTGATAATTCTGAGCAAAATTAATGATCTCAGTTTGTTCATCAAGCTCTATGTTTTTTTCATGTGAGGGGATCTCAGGTAGACTGACAAATATAGTTATGGAACCAAGAAATCCACGAACGAAGGAGCATGGCCTTTAGTTTGTTGGGGGGCAGAGAGTGTGACCAGTTCAGCTCTATCCCATTTGCAGCACCCTAGCAGAAGTTCATTTATCTGGACTAGATAAGCATCCTTAATGTTAAAGCGCATTCTATAAATTGAAATCTCATTTTATAAGTAATCAAAAGCATATAATTACCACATGGTAATGTCAGTACACAAACAATTCAGTGTGTGAACAGAAGCATTCGGAAAAATTTTGCTTCTGTCCATGAGTTCTCCATAAATTTTGCTTCCATTCATGAACTCTGCATCAGGTGACAAACATGATCTCGACCATCTTCGCCACAAAAATACAAATGTGACCATCTACCCTGCTCTGACATGTGGTCATGGCTCTCTCTCATCAAGATTGTGGTTGCAGACAGACCTGCATGCACTTGCTATGAAGCTTTTTTGTGTGGTTTTTAGCACATATAGTACTGTACATTATTAAATCCAGCATGGCTCCGAAGGAAACATAGTGGTAAAAAGAAAGTGGAGATGGTAACGAAGGTGGTAACAATGTGCAGAGCAATAATGACCATAGCAAGAAAGTGCAGAGCAAGAATGGTAAGAAGATTTTGAAGAAAACACCATTGCATTGAAGAAAGGAAGTGTAGAAAAGCATGGACATGTTGTGACTGATCTGGTCTGAGTACAAGGTGGTGAAGTCAATAATCTTGACTATTTTGAAGACTAAAGATGTCATGAAAAGAGCTGATGTGGTAGAAAGAGTAACAGTTTTACCCACACAGAGGACACAAGTTCTGGAAGAGGTGGAAAAACTTTTGTTAGTGTGGTTAAATGAGAAACAGCTGGCAGGTGATAGTGTTAGTGAAGCTAGGACAGTGAAAAAGCTGGGAAATTGCAGTGTGGTTTACAGCAAGGAGACCCCTCTACAAGCAGAACAAGTGATGAATTTAGAGCCAGTAGAAGGCAGTTTGATAAATTCCACAAGAGAAGTGGCATCCACAGTGTGATAAGACATGGTGAGGCTTCCAGTTCTGACAAGGCCACTGCAAAGCCCACAAAAAAGAATTTGTAAATTCATGAAGGCAGAAGGATCTGTCTCTCCACAAGTGTTCAGCTGCAGTGAAACAGGGCTCTTCTGGAAGAAGATGCTGAACAGATCTTCTGTCCCTCAGGAGGAAAGGGCACTGCCCTAGCACAATGAGTGACAGATTGACCCTTTTGTTGTGTGTGAACACAAGTGCCGATCTGAAGATTAAGCCATTACTGGTGTACCATTCCCAGACCCCTCCTGAATTCAAGGAACAGAACATGAGCAAGGCCAGGCTGCCTGTCCTGTGGAGGGCCAATGCAAAAGCTCGGGTCATAAGGCAATTGTTCATGGGATGGCTGCGCAAGGTGTTGGCACCTCCCGTTAAGAAATATCTTTCTGACAACCACGTGCCTGCAAGGTACCTTCTTTTGATGGACAGTGCCCCGGCACAGCCTCCAGCCTTGGTGGGTGATAAGGACAGTGAGTGTGACTTCATAAAGGTCAATTTCCTCCCCTGCAGCACAACACCTCTTCTCCAGCCAATGAACCAGCAAGGGATCTGCAATTTGAAGAAGCTGTACATGAAGGCGCTCTTCACCAGCTTGTTGTGTCTGGTGAGAGTAGATTTTATTTATCCAGGATTCATAAACTTGGTACCAATAAAAAAATAGAGATATAAGTTTAAAAGGAGAACAAAATTACTTTACTGGAAAGAAGAGAGAAATGAGATAGATAGCTACCTTGTTGGAGTAAGGTAGGGAGCCCAGAGCTAGTGCTCAAGAGTCTTTGTTCTTAGCCTCTTTGAAGGTGAGAAGGAACTGTGCCCTTTGAGAGCGGTTACAACTTGACTGGCTATTTTAGGTGCTGAGACTCCTGCTTTGGCCACTGACCCTCTCCACTGCCCGTGTGCAGATTCTTTGGTAAGCTCATTTGTCTCACCAAGGTGTTATCCCTAAAATTTATGGTAGAGCCTTACAAAGCTGAGTTAGCAATTAAATGAAGGGATACTTGTTCATTTTAATGCAGTAACATAGTGAGAGAATAATACTATGTATAAATATATGTATTTATATGTAGGTGTGTGTTTAGGTGTGAATATATATTTTATATACTAAGTGAGTTTTCTATAATAGCCCTCTCCCCACTTTGTCTCCTTTGTACTTAAGTAGAGGCAGAGAAAAATGAATTGGGGCCCTGGTGCCAAGCATATCAGTTCTCTCTGCTTCTCTTAATTGTTCTCTCTAGCAGGGAGAGCAGTTTCTATAATTTCCTTCTTTCTGGTCAGGATTTGCCAGAAACCTCACTAAGCCCTTTACCTTTCACTACCTGTTCCTCAACTTTCCCTAAAAGGTGTTTTAATGTCATTGAAAAGACATCATTGACTCTGAAAGAGTTCTGGAAGAAATCTTTCAATGTCCTCCACTGCAACAACCTTATTGACAAAGCCTGGGAAGATGTTGCATACTGAAATTTAAACTCTGCCTGGAGGAAACTGTGGCCAGAGTGTGTCACTGAACGTGACTTTAAAGGGTCTGATGCACAGGTAGTAGAGAGTGTGTCCACATGTGTGGGAGACCAGGTAATGAGAACTGAGGCCTAATAGACCTCCTCTGTGAGCATAAAGGACAAAGGCAGCAGCTGTGCTCCTTTGACAGTGTGCAGACATGATAGCACATTGTAAGTGCTAGGGAAAAGTCAACACAGCAGAGAATTAGTTGTCTACCTGGGCATGTACTTTAGATAATAGGAGGCAGATGACTCTTCTGCTACTCTACTTGCTTGTTCCCATGTCTGAGTGAGTAAAGGCGAGGTGAGCCAGATGCTCAGGGCTCTCTGTCTACTAGAGGCAAGAGCCCCCTGGCCCCTGCATTCTGAACTAACTCTGTGTCTCTTTGTCTTTCATCCTTGTTCCCCACCTCATTGGGGACAAACTCATAGACAAACTCACAGGCAAGAGTGTGGATCTGGATGAGGATGGTGCAGACATAGAGGAGCTTGTTAGGGATGATAAGGATGATAAGGAGGAGCTGATGATGGAAGAACTTGCGCAACTCCAGAGCAAGCAGCAGAAGGTGCTTATTGAGGAGCATCCACTGAGGAAGAGGAAGATGGGGAGGAGGTCAGCAGCAATGTGATAAAATCCATTATGGGAAAATGAAGCGAGTGCCAGGATTTCTTTGGGAAGCACCAACATAACTGTAATGAACAGAGTGTTCAACCTGAGAAACAGTAACATAGTCTCGATTCTGGAGGGTTATGCAGTGCAGGAAAAAATAAGTGACATTAGATTTTTCATCAAAACTGACTCCGCAGCTAAGAGACAAAGAAGAAAGGAACCCTCTGAAGGAGGTCACCCCACTGTCCTCCTGGAAGGGGACTCTCCCTCCAAACACCCTCCTCCCCACCCACCTTCCTGTCCTCCATGCTAGAAGTCACCTCAAGCAAATTAGTCTTCTCTTTCTTCATACTATACTGTACTTTGTTTCATATTTTTGTGGTTAAAAAATACATATGGTTCAGAGCAGATTAACCTTATTTACTAAACCTTTTGGGGAAATTTGATTTGGTTCATGACTATATATTTTTAACTTTGAAAAATTTACCCAAGTAATATACATGTTAAAAAACTATTAAAAATATATATGGAAAAATTAACCATCTATTTTTGATTTATTAAAGAAAATCTTTGTTAGCATTTTGATATATGCCCTTTCAGAATTTTATATACATGCAAATGCATGTATATTTACATATGAAATAGTCTAACAAAAATGGAATCTTACTGTAATACAGTTTTACAGCTAGTCTTTTTTTTATTTTAAAGAGTAAAAGAAGGATAACATAATAATGGGGGGGCTTACCAAATTACAGACAAAGTGGTAAGAAATTATCAATGGTTATTGTTTTACATATTATTATCTACAAGATAGTTTCTCAGGAAAACAAATAGACCAATTATAGTGAGTTACAGACAAAAGAGGTAGGAGATTATCAATAGTTGTTGTACTATACTTTGGTATCTTCAAAGTGGCTTCTAAAGAAAATAAATAGAGCTATACATGAGTGACCTATTGAATAATCATTAACTTTTCTCAATGGTTGTTGTAGGAAACACATAATGATAGACATGCATCCATTTACAAAATAGGATAGGAACAATACAAACATTGCAGAGTTATGGATAGATTAGTAGGAAAATATCAGTGGCTGCTGTAATACATGTTGGTATCTTTGAAGTGGTTTCTCAGGAAGACAGAGATACGCAAGAAGGATCTAACAAGTAGTTACAGCGTAAGGGTTGCCAAAAATCAAGTGAGCCATCTAGGGCCAAAGTCATTTTTTGTAGCGTTTTCTCTCCAGCCTCCCATCGCATTGGGAACACACAACCAGTTAGTGTCCTCTCCCCAACTGTCAGCACAGGCAGAAGGAATCCTGCTGCAGACTTCACCGGAGCTCCACCACAGCCTGTACTGTCAGGGGAAGAATGGCTTCCAAGGAGTCTCTGCAGGTATTGTGCAAGGTCCTCCTGGTTCCGAGCTTCCGAGCGGCTCTCATGACCCCAGTCCACAGGACCTCTGATTCCTCAGGCTTAGTCTGCCTTCTCATGTTCTCCGAGTCCTTGTTCAGCAGCTGTTCCTCCGCTGACTCTGGACCTTTCTGGTTCTCAATGGCAGGAGCAAGAGTGACCCATTGAATGGCATATATTCCCAGGGGTTTCTCCATGTTTGAATGATTCACACACCTCCGTGGGTGGGCATCTGCAGCCGGTGCATGGTGGGCCAATTGTGTCATTGTTTCTCTGTGTCATGGTAGTTCTCAATTGAGTGGCGGCGGCCGGCCTGAGGGCTGGCTGGCAACAGCGCTCCCTGACTGTGGCTCCCCATGCACCTGGGCCCCTTCTTCCGGGCGCCTACAGGCAGGAAGCGAGCCTGCCGCAGCTTGTCTTTCTTTTTAACTTAACATACATGGTAAAAATCTATGTCAATATAAATAAATAATGTATAGGATCATTTTTAATGACCGTATAGTATGCCTATACTATTTAATGCCTTTGTATGCCTATACCATGATTTAAACATTTTCCTATTGTTGATCATTAAGAATGTCCATTTTATTATTGTAAATAGCACATTAAAGAACATATTTAAGCCAAATGTGGTGGTGCATGCCTGCAATCCCAGAACTCTGGGAAGCTGAGGCAGAAGGAGTTGCCCATCCTGGGTAATTCAGTGAGACACTGTTTCAAAATACAAGATAAAAAGCGGCTGGAGAGTAAGCTCAGTGGGAAGGGCCTAGGTTTAATCCCCAATACCACAAAAAATTTCTTTAGAATACAATTTAGATGAGCTATTGTAACATCAAAGTATGTGCATGTTTAGAAACTTCTGATATATAGCCAAGTTATTTTCTTGAAAAAACTGTATTAGGACCTATTTTCCCTCTAGGCTTTCTGCAACTGAACCATTCCTACATCTCTGGAGCTTAGGGCCACCACAAACCCCTGGACCCTCAGCAATAGCCAGAACTGTGGTCACCACTTTTGCTGTCATCCCACCATCCTCTGCGATCCCATCCCTGCCCCTCCCACCCAAGCACAGCATCCCAACCCTCCTTCTTTCCTTGTCCTCTCCTTCCCTGTCACCTGCCCTTCCTCTCTCCTCCTTCCTTCTGTGTCTCCCTCATCCCTTCCTGGTCTTGCTGTTCCTTCATGAAAACTATGGATGGAGACAAGGATAGGATTGCCAGGGAAAATACTGGATGTCCATTTAAGCTGGAATTTTAGATAAACAATGAAAACTGCTTTGTGCAACAGTATAAATAGTGTATTGCATGAGACTGTGATATATATTTGCTTGTTGGTTGTTTTTTGAAGTACAAAGGATAAACCCAGAGCCTCACACATAGTAGGCAGCACTTTACCGCTGAGCTACATCCTCACCCTAAATAATTTTTGTAGTAAAATTTTTATACTAAAAATGATTCCTTGTTTATGTGAAAGTATTTCTGCTTATGTGAAATTCCACTTTAAATAGGTGTTCTGTATTTGTATTTGCTAAATTTAGTAACTGTTTGGATATAGATACAGAGTCCACTAAAAAATGTGTATATATTTCAGGAGTTCACCATACTAATAAATGTATAGAAGCTCATGACCACCACTTTGAGCACCTCTTGTAACTGTAGAGGCCAAAGGTAACTTGTATTAGTTTCATGATGTCTCAATATAGTATTACTATTTTATATATTACATTTAATACTAAATGTCTCAATTTAGTATTAAAATATTTATACAAGTTTTTCTTTTCCTGACCTATACATGTTTTGACAGGTTACCAAGAGAGAAAGAGAGAGAGAGAGACAGACAGACAGGGACAGAGACAGAAAATAAATGAGAATTAGGGATTGAATCCAAGGTCTTCACACTGAGCTACATTCTCAACCCTTTGTATTTTTTATTTTGAGACAGGATCTCACTAAATCACTGTATTGCCCAGGATGGGCTTAAACTTTCGATTCTTCTGCCTTAGCCTCTCAGAGGGCTAACACTACAGGTATGTACCACCCCACTTGGCAGAACTGTATTTAGACACATACTTTCTAAATCAGAATGTGTGTGTTCACTATATACTCACAGTCGTCAGCTTATGATGATTTGACTTACGATTTTTCTGCTCTACAGTGCTGTGAAAGCCACATGCATTCAGAAGGAACTGTACTTCCAGTTTTGAAGTTTGATCTTTTCTCAGGCTAGGGATATGTAGCATGATACTTTCTAACAATGTTGCTGGCAGAAGGGTGCCACAGCACCCAGCCAGCCATGGGATCACAAGGGCAAACAACCGATGCTCTGTACTGTACTGTATTGCTATAATCTATGGTGTTTAGAAAGTTAAGCATATTAATGCATTTTGATTTATGATTTTTCAAACTGTGATGAATTTACTTGGGACATAGCCCTATTGTAAGTTCAGGAGCAGCAAGGTGTGTCTTGTGTGTGAAAGAGAGATTTTGGATCCTGGATCCGTTACCCTGTCCTAACCTTGTACTGACTACTTGACCTAGCTGAATTTCTGTGCTGCCCTAATCTTGATGTGTGAGGAGAGGTTGCCCATAGGTTCCTCTTCAGGTGAGCTAGTGAAAACTGGTTAGATCTAAGACGGCTGCCAGAGTGACAGACAGACAAACTACCTTCATTGTAATTCCATCTGCATGCTGAATGATACATCCCCAGCTCCACAAGAATTGACCATCACCACGGGGAGGACTTGGAAAGAACCATAAAAAGAACAAAAAGAGGTACTGCCCATATTTCTGGAAAATTGCCACCCATTCCCAGAAAAGAAATGAGTATTCTTCCCCTTATCAACTATCCTTCCCTCTCATTTCTTTTACCCTATACCAATAACTTCTGGATCCTCGGGTTGAGAAGTTGATTAGGGAGTTTTATCTCTCACTTCTATCCTTGGCCAAAAATAAAGTTCTTCCTCACTGTTCTGTATTGGTGCTATCTTATTATTGGCTACACAGTTCTGAGAACTAAAAAGGACCCTATTTGGGGAAAATTGTTGACAGATCCCCAGATATTTTGACAGCTACCTAGGTGGACACCCCACTAGATCTCTGAGGAAAAAAGTATGCATAGAGAATAAACATGTTCTATTATGGACAGTAAGACAAGGAGAACATTGTTTATGGTTTGGGTCCCAGGTGTGTGCCTGACAGCCAACACCTCAAGATCCCAAAACACAGACTCTCACCTGAACGCAAGGTGTGACTCTACTCTTGGTAAATTCTTCTTACCACCACTTCACAGGCCTTCTGTATGCCATCATGCAGAGCAGTAAGGACATTGTGTACTGTTTTGCGGGCCAGAAATTTGCCTCAATTCCCACTGTAATCTTCTACTGGCTCAAGCAGGACTTCAAGGCTTAGATAGAAAGAAGGTCGCCCAGGTCCTTCTGCCCTCGGAGTCATACTCTGATCTTATAGGAAGGAATGGAGAAGGAAACCAAGAGAAAAGGAGCCAGAGTGGTAAGGTTTATTTCTCCATAAACCCTCAGACCCTCTCCTGTCACCCAATTTCAGTCAGACCCTACAGTAGGAACTGACCTTGGCCCAACTTCTTGCTAGGACTGCCTAGCCCAGTTTTAGAGAGAAACTTGCTAAGTCAGTTTAGACTTGCTATCTGATCATTCTTGTACCTGATCATATTCTTCATCCACCACCTTTAATGTTTAAATTCATCACTTGCCTTCTGGAAGAATCCTATCATGTTGGCTTAGCAGAAGTCTCCCTGTCTCCTCTTAGTAATTTTCCACCCACCAATCCCCTCTTTCTGATCAGGAACTAAATTCCCACTGGCGCTCATTGTATTTAAAGTTGAGCCAGACAGCTTTGTCCCACTGCAAGACACCATTGTGGGCGACCACAGAATAAAGTCAGCCTTACTATTTGTTGCAAGTCAGGATAATTTTTTCTTTAACGGTCCTGGCAAATACAAAGCTACCGTAAAGAACTACTTTTTTAAATCCGGAGGCTTAAGTAGGAGACAGCAGGAAAGGACATTCTGTGCCTAAGCTAATGCTTTTAACCTCTTAGCTCCTTCCATTCTTAGCTCCACCCTCAGCAATAAAACCCCAGCTTGTCCTTGACCAGAATAAGACCCCCCGCTACCCCCCCAGCAACGGAGTTTGAGAGTGGAAATCCTCGCGCTCCCCCTAGAGGCTAGAGCGCACATCCAACCTTTACAGCAAATTGTGTGCATGGGTGTTGTTGATACTTCACTGTGAAGAGTCAGGAAAACAAGAGTTTTGCTTTCTCCTTCTAGAGAGCTTAGCAGAGTATCACAGATGTCCTGTCTGCACCTCCATGCAGCTGCTTTTGCAATTCTTGCTTGTTCTCCTCTTGGGACTCGTGAAATGGGTAATTCAGCCCACTTAGGAGTTTTCCTTTGATGTTATACCCAGGGAGCCAGAGAACTCCTGGCAGGACATTCTATGAAGTCCAACCTAAGTGTTTTTCCAAGTGTGTTCTGTGGACCACCTGCATAGAAATATCCTGGAGTGTTTGTTTAAAATGTTTAAAAAGGATTTCTGGGCCATGTCCGGTGACCTTATGAGTCACAATTCCCTGGGGTTAGGTAATTCTTTTACGTATTAAGGTTTAAAGACCACTGCTATACACTGCTTGAACGTATACCTCCATTCTATATCTTTCTCATTTGAAATTCTACTGCATTCTACTGCATTCTAAGCTGGGCATAGTGGCACATGTCCAGGATAACGCAGGACAGTCCCTGCTAGTTTGAGGCTAGCTTACCTAGTGACTTCAAGGCCAGCCTGAAACTACATAGCGAGACTTTGTCTCAAAAAATCGGCATAATAAATAAATAAACTGCATGATGCTATAATCAAATTCATAAGTAAGGATTATATACACAGTGAATCCAATATAATAACATAGTATGTCAATCCTTTACCCTGAAAACAGAATCCAACAAACACCTTTCCCTACTCAATCTTCTTTTGACTCTTAATCCCCAAATATATATATATGTTTTTTCTTTTCTTTTTTCTTTTCTTTTCTCTTCTTTTCTTTTCTCTTGAGACAGGATCTTGCTATGCAGTTCAAGCTAGCTTTGAACTCACTTATGTAGCCCTAGGCTGGCCTCAAACTCTTGGCAGTCCTCCTGCCTCTGCCTCCTCAGTGCTGGGATTAAAGATGTGAGCCACCACACCCCACTCAAATATATATATTACTTTTTTCTATCTTGTTTTGTTCTAGCTAGAGGGAAATTATTTACTCCTTTATGCCAAACGTGGGTTAATCCAATGCAAATTTTCCGCTGTTCCATTTTCCAAAGTTCCAGGGAGCCATCAGGAATAGTCCCCTCTTAAGGAATTTATAGAACCCAGTTCACTGTGTACAAATAAAATCGCTTAACATCTAAATGTAATTTCTCTTGGGAAGCATGTTTAAAGTTTAAATTTATAGACCTAAGTCTCCAAACATTCTGGTTTGGTTGGTCTTGGCTGGGGCCTGGAACCTGTATTTAATCAAGCATCCTGAGGTGATCTTGATGTAGGTGATCTTTACACTGTATTTTAAGTGACAATGCTTTATATGCCAAAGTTTCTTAACAAATATAATGTTTCTAGGCAATTTACAACCAAGCACCATATAGACCCTGTAAATCACAGATATTTACCTGAAGAAAAAAAGTAGACCTGGGATGATAAATAGAGGCCATAATTTCTGTTGATTTTGTTGGTCATAGAAGACATGTGCTCTTTTCAGACCAACCCAAACTGGACCTTCAGATGTGTCCTAACAGACTTTAGTCACTCCCAATTGTTTGGGCAGATAAAAGAGAAGGAATGTATTTAGTATTTGTAAGCAGGTGAGGAAAATATTAAGGTTTGCTGTTTCAGTTTCACCAAGATGTTAAACCATCTTAGAACTCACCACTTATGGCTATAAAATTTTAGAAATGTTGGGACAAGTGGCTATTTGGGAAAAATAAACTTTCATGTGGGAAATATTGTTTCTTAGTATTTTAAATTAAAAATTTAAAGTCATTATGAATAATCTACATAAAAGTAAATACGGTTCTTTTTACTCAGACAGGAGAATTGTAAATTCAAGTCCAGCCTAAGCAATGTAGCCATTTATTAGTGTGACCCTGTCTCAAAATAACAAAATTTTAAAAAGGACAGGGGATGTAGCTCAGTGCAAAGGCTTTGGGTTCAACCCTCAGTACCATAAAAATAAAAGCAAAAAGCACTACAGTAGCAAAGATAGCTTCCTTATGTAATTGACTGAGGAGATTCTTCGAGGTCTAGGTGAAATCTGTCTGAAGGAAGTCATCCAGAGAATGTTAGTTTGGACTTTTCTTTTGGCTTCAGATAACAGCCAAAGCCCAACTAATTTAAACAACGGGGGACAGTATGAGCTAAGAGAACTCTAAGTACAAACATCGGGTAGGATTTGAGACTCACGGGCTCTGGCTCCATTCCCTACAGTGATATTATCTTGCCTTCCTCTTATGTATTGAATTCCTCTCGGGTTCCAGCTGGGCCTTGCTCCTCCTCAGGCCTTCTCAGGAATGAGAGACCTTTTCCTAGAAGGTCCTGGCAGGGAACTTCTCCTAGAAGCCCCTGACAGATCTTCTCAGAGTACAGTGGCCTGCATTTGGTCATGAGTCCTTCTCTAGATTAATCCCTGTGGCCAGAGAAATGGAGTATGCTGGTTCGGTAGGGGATTTGAGAAAATAAACTTTCTTTGAGATGTGGTGATTTGCAAGCATCTGTTTAGAGGAGGGAAGAATTACCTTTTTGCCTCTTCTCCCCTTTGGCTGTGGGCTCAGTGGATTCCATTCCTATTTCAGTTGCCTGAAGTTCTTCATATGGTACTTTCTTCAAAAAGTGCTCTTGAGAATCGTATCCTTTAAGTTCTTGAATGTTAAAAAATATGTGTATCAATCTATAGATTTTTTGTGAGAATAACAGTCCAATCAAGTATGACATTTTTGGAATATACTTTCATTTCTTCAAAGTCTTGTATATGCTGCTCTGGAATCTCCTGGGTTTCTGTGTAAATGTCTAATAACAGCCAGATTTTATTTCTCCCTATAAATGACTTTATCTTTCTTGCCTATTGCCCAAGGGATTGTTTTATTACCATTTGCTAAAGTATATCTCTGGTTCAATTTTTCCCATTATACAATGTGTTCTTTCAATATGTAAGTCCAAGTGTTTTATTTCTAAAAATTCTTTTAGTTTTCCTAAACTTAGAGTTATGTATCTTTAACTATTTTGGTTCTGTTAAAGACACAAGTTAGAAATATAATTGATCTCTATTTGTCTGTTTATTACTATTTTTATTTATATTCCGCTGTAGGTCTGCTAATGATAAATTCTTTTAGCTTCTGTTTTTCTGAAAATGTCTATATCTTGCTTGTTTGCTTGCTTGCTTTATTGAAAGAGTATCTCACTATGTAATCCAAGCTGGATTAGAGCTCAGTATGTATTCCAGGCTGGCCTCAAACTTGTTTAGTGTTGTTTGTTTATTTTTGAGACAGAATCTCATTATATAGGACAGGCTAGCCTTGAACTCATTATGTAGCCCAGGCTGACCTCAACCTTCCAGCGACCCTCCTGCTGCAGCCTCCAGAATGCTGGAATTTCAGCCATGTACCACCACACTCAGCTCCTTCATTCTTTTTTTTTAATTCAATTTTTTTCTTATGGAAAAATATACACAACATAAAATATACTATTTTTAATATTTTAAAGTATATCATTCAATAGCGTTAAGTACATTTAAATTATTGTGCAACTATCACAAACATTCACCTCCAGAATTCATCTTACAGAAATGCAATATCCATTAAACAATAACTTCTCATGTCCTCCTCCCCCTGGTTCCTAGCAACCACTGTTCTACCTCCTGTTTTGAATTTGACTATTCTAAGTAATTCATATAATTGGAAACTATTAATATTTTTATGATTTTCTCAATTCACTTGACATAATGCCCTCAAGGCTGATCCATGTTGTAGCATGTGTCAGAATTTTCTACCTTTGTAAGGCTGAATAATATTCCATTGTATGTCTATATTACCCTTTGCTTATGTATTCATTTATTGAGGGATACTTTTTATTTACCTATTTTGTGGTTCTGGAGTTCAAACCCATCCAGCACTGAGTTTAGTGAGACAGGTCTCACTAAGTTGCCAAGACTGGCCTTGAACTTGTAACCCTCCTGCCTCACCCTCAGGAGTAGTTGAGATCACAGGGATGTGCCACCACACCCAGCTGTTGATGGACACTTGAATTACTTCTACCTTTGAGCTACTGTGAACAAAGCCCCTCTGAGCATGGGTATTTCAAGGGTACATTCTCATGGATGTATTTATTCTGATGGGTATGAGTATCTCTTTAAGACTCTGCTTTTGTACCTCATTTGATACTTGGACCCCCTTCACTTTTATTCTTTTATTTTAAACTTATTTTTCTGTGTCATTTAAAATGAATTTTAGAATCAGCTTGTCTGCATTCACAAAAACTACTGCAAGAATGTTCATAACAACGTTATGGAGCGATACAGCTAAAGTCATTGTCAGTTGCACTTTGATACTTTTAGTTTTATTTGCTTTACTCATTTGTCTAGCCTTAGCAACAACCTTTATCCAGGAAAGCAGGTACATAAAAACACTGCTCTTGACAAGCTGCTTTCTAATCATACTCCCATCTGTTTTTACCCGCAGTATTTGGTTTTGTCAAAGTTTTTCTGCTCTGCCCTAATTTCTGTCCCACTGCAATACAATCTTATATGTAATTCTACTGTGATATCTTCTTAGAGAAATGTAGCTTAGTATCAAGGGAGATTTGAAATGGAAAAAACCAAATAGGAAGCAGTGGAAATATAGGTGTGTATTGGGTATGCACATATACTTTTGGAGGGTGCCCGGGACCGAACCCAGGGCCTTTGCACTTAGCAACATTCCCAGACTTTTTTTTATTTTGTGACAGGGTCTAGCTAAGTCCTAAATTGCCTACATTAGGCTCAAACTTGTGATCCTCCTGTCACAGCCTCCCAAGTGCTGGGATTACAGTGTGTGCCACTTATGCCCAGCTAACTTAGATAAATTTTAATATCCTGATTTAAATTTATAAATTCAATGTCATTAGAATGATAACCAAAAGACTTCAAGGAATCCCATACCAACGTACTTTGGAGGGATTTTTGTTGCAAGATCATCTTACTGTGCCATGTTTTTCTAACAGATGTGGTAAACTGACATGTAAAAGTTATGAAATAAAAAGCCAATAGATAAATAAAAATCCTAGTTCAAAGACTAGGACAGAGACCTTACTGTTGTAGTTTGAACCTGGAATATCCTCCAAATGCCTATGTTTTAAAGAACTAGCCCCATCTTGGCACAGTTGGGAGGTGGTAGACCCCTTACAAGCTGGGGTCTTGTGGCGGTTCCTAGTTTGCTGGGGATATGCCTTCCAGAGAGATTGTAGGACCTCAGTCTCTTCCTCTCTCCTTTGCTGCCTCACCATGAAGAGAATGAGCTTCCTCTGCTGTGCAGCGTGTTATGCTTTAGATCTAAACTGCCCCCAAAGGTCTCATGTTCAGATATGGGGTCTGGTTGGAAGGGAGGAGTTCCTGAGAGGTGTGATTTGGAAGGCTATATTCACATCCCCAGATTCTCCTTTCTCTTTCTGCTTCCTGGCCACTCTTCAGTGAACAGCTTCCTTCATTATGCCCCTCTACCATGTGGCTTCTGTCTTGGATCCAGCCAACCACAAACAACCCTCTGAAACCGTGAGCCAAAACGAACCTCTCCCCCTTTAGTTGCAGGTGTTGGATATTTTGATCCAATGACAGGAAAGTAAGTAAGACAAAAAAAAAAAAAAAAAAAAAAAAAAAAAAAAAAAAAAAAAAAAAAAGAAAAAGAAAACAGAAAACCAGGAGTGTAGTCACTGACTATTGGAAAATTTAGGAGATGCTGAGTAGAGAAACTATGGAGTGCTGTAAGCAGAGTAAGCAAAGCTTGATGGGAGAATCTGGTCAGAGCTCAGAAGACCAGAATGTTGATAGGAATGCAGACAGTGAAGGCCAGGCTCAGGAGGTTTCATTTGGAAACAAGGACTCTCCTGGCAGTTGGACTAGAGGACATATGTATTATATTTTGGAGGAAAACTTGTCTATATTTTGTCTGCATCCTGAGACTTTGCAGGAGACTGAGATTAAAGGCAGTAGACTAATCTGGTAAAGGAATTCAAGGTATCCCAGTGTTCAGGCTGTGACATGAGTACTACTGACGTCAGCCAGCTCTACAGTGAGAATCAGGAGCAAACAGCAGAGCTGAATGATTTAAAAAGTTTGCAGTTTCACCAGAAAGGAAATGTCTGCCAAGTCAGGGCAAAGGAGAGCTTGGTTGCTAAAAAAATTAGCATTAAAAAGAAGCCAAGTATTTTGTATAGGGACAAGAAAATGTTCAGCAATACAGAACCCATCACAAGCTCAAGGGTACAAAACCGTAAATCTTTCATTTGAGAAGAACGTCTTTGGGATGCCTGCTCATTCAGAGCTACTTAGGGAAGTGTATCCCTGAGTTCAGCCATCCAAACACTCATAGGCTACTGCAAAAGAATCCAAAAGAGTATGCTACTGTTCAACCTGACAGACTTTGGCATTATTCATGTAGTGGTGGTTATTTAAGCATGCAGAATGCAGAAATTATGGGATCATGGAGGCTGCCACCTAGATATCAGAAAAATGCCTGGGAAGCCAGACAAAAATGTATAGCAAGTTATATATAGTACCTGTCAGGTGCCCCTGATAGAGAGAAAGTGAAACTGTGAGAGTGAAACTGAATGTGTAATAGAGACTCCAGAAAGTTAGAGGTTTAGGGAATGTGGAGCATTTGCTGAGGACAGCTACAGGTAGTGAGCAAAACCATCCCAGAGAGAGGTCATGTGAACCACAACAAACACGGCAGACTGGGTGCAGAGCTGCCCAAGTCCTTTGGAACTCACATCTCACCTCAGTGTGCCCAGGGTGCTGGACTTGTAGCTACAGGATTTAATGTTTCCCTTGCTAGGTTTCAGTCTTGCTCTGGTCTGATTTTTTTCTATTCCCCTATTCTTTGACTTGAAATGGGAATGTTTACCCTATGCCATTGCATAGTGAAAGTATTTAACTTTATTTTTTTCACTTGAAATATTCAAAGCTTATCTGAAGAATTTCCCAGACTGTCATCATACAAGATTTCAGGATAGTAAAGAAAACCCCATGTTATGTATATATAGCTTCTGTTTAGTTCAGAACACCCTTTGGTCAAAGTTAACAACATAAAAACTGGCTTTCCAACATTTCTAACTTTTATCAGGTTTTTGTCCACTGTGAAAGCACAGGAAGACCTCAAACTCTTAATTTTTATTTATATATGTATATATGTATGTATGTATGTATTTACATAGTTCGGGCTGGCCTTTAACTCACTATACAGACTAGGCTGGCCTTGAACACTCAGCAATCCTCCTACCTCAGTTTCCTGGGTGTTGGGATTATAAGCATGGCCCTTTTTTTATTTTTGTAGGGGCTCATAGCTAAGAGTTTGCTATGAGTCTCAGAGGACATTTTGGACTTGGACTTTTCAACAGTGCTGAATTGTCAAGACTTTGGGGATTCTTAAAGAGGAACTAAATGCATTTTGCATAATGAAATGGACATGAACCTTGGGACCCAGGGCTGGTATGTTATGAGTTAGATCAAAATATCTCACCAAAGTCTCATATTCAAGAGGGGAGGGAGGGTAGTTAGAAGGGGTGGTTCACTGGAGGAAAGATTTGGAAGGGTATGTTCTCAGCCTTGGGTCCTCTCTTTTCTGTCTCCTGGCTACCATGTGGTGATCAACTTCCTCCACCATGCCCTTCC